TCAGTGACGAAAGGGGGATTGACAATAAAAGGTTCCCCTCGCTCTCGACGTCGGGTACTACAGTTCTACGGGTGCAAGAGTATGCCTCCTCAAGCACCCGGGCGTCAAAATAAAAGAAGTCCAAGGGAAGAACCAGAACGAGCAAAAGGTCGGCAGGAAACGGCAAGCAGATAGGAGAAGAGGGGGGAGAAAAACGAAACATAAGGAAAAGGAAAAAATGCCCAGCAGAATTGGAGAGGACGGCAGCAGGAGCACAAGGCTAGAAAAGGACAGAGGACTGTCCCAAGGAGCATCACACTCCGGCAGCCGCCCACTAAGCCCCCACACGGCGACAACGAGCTGAGCGGGGAGGGGGTGTCAACCACCAAAACCTTCTTCCTAAACTATATCATTATGGAGTCAGAGGACACTCCCTGCAATACCTCAAATCCTACCTTACTGACAGGCAACAGTATGTTTCTGCGAATAATTCAATTTCTCCCACCCTACCCATCAACATTGGTGTTCCTCAGGGCAGCATACTTGGTCCTCTCCTCTTTCTCATCTACATTAATGACCTTCCAAATGCCTCCCAACACCTCAAACCAATTCTATTTGCTGACGACACAACCTTCATTTACTCCAGTCCTGACCCCCTTGCTCTAAATGCCACAGTAAATACTGAGCTAAATAAAGTCCATCTTTGGCTAACTGCCAACAAACTCACCCTTAACATTGACAAAACTTTCTATATTCTGTATATTCTATAAACTGAATTTCCAGGGCCACATTCTAAATATATCAAAAAAAGTTTCAAAAACTGTTGGCATTCTTTCTAAGATCAGATATTATGTACCCCGCCCTGCCCTGGTGACTCTCTATTACTCCCTTGTCTATCCATATCTCAACTATGGTATTTGTGCTTGGGGTTCTACTACCCAAAATCATTTACGTCCTCTAATTACTCAACACAAAGCTGCTATTAGGACAATATCCAACTCTGGCCCCAGACATCACTCGGTACCCCTACTCAAATCTCTGAATATGTTCGACATTAAGTCACTGCACATTCTCTCTTGTGTATTATACATATATAAAACGCTAAACTGTAATGCCAATCCTGACCTCAAAAGCTTCATAGAAGGTTGTAACAGAACCCATGAGCACCACACCAGAAATAAATACAGTTTTGATATTCCTAGAGTACGACTTAATCAAACTAGAAATGCTCTACAAATCAAGGGACCCAGATTGTGGAATGACCTTCCCATCCATGTTAAAGACTGTACCTCTCTCAACCAGTTTAAGATAAAAAGGAAGCTATACCTAATAAATTCCCTGTGACCTACCTTACCCCTCTAATGTCATCCAATGTCTGTTTTTTTTTTTTTTAAAGAGCGCTGTTTGTCGACAGAATTGTATTTGTGCTGCTTTTTCAGCTATGTTTTCATTCCATGTTTTCATTTTACTCTTTATGCTCAATTAGTATTAATCTTTAGTCATATAAGTTTTTTATGCCCGAAAGTAAGTAAGTAATTATCAAAAGAAGGCACCAAACCAGGAAGGCTATGTAGCACCATCAAATGCGCAAAATAATCAGAGGGCGCTAAATATCACCAAGGATGCCAATACGAGAACAAAAACGCATAAGGCGAATGATATCAAAAGTATCTGAGTCACCAAGAATTCTATTGAGGGACAGGTGACCGCGAGGGGCGGTCGGAAAGCAAGACACACGCTCGTCCTGGAAGTCAGGACATTCAAGAAGGACATGCACGACCGTAAGAGGGACAATGCAACTAGGACAATAAGGAGCAGGGCGGCGCTCCATCAAGTGACCATGGGTTAAGCGAGTATGGCCAATACGCAACCTCGCCAGAGCTGTTTCCCACCGCCGGTTACGGTGGAAGGAGGACGGCCACGAGGAAACACAACATTTCAGAGTACGTAGTTTGTTACCAGTAACAGACGACCAAGAAGCCTGCCAACGGGTAAGGACGGAGGAATGGATAACCGGGTAAAAGTCGGAATATAGAACACCTTTACGAGAGATGGGACAAGAGCGGACAGCTTCCTTGGCAGCAGCATCCGCACGCTCATTTAAAGACACACCAATATGGCTGGGAACCCAACAAAACTCAACCGACTTAAATTTACTGTGAACAAGAAACAGCCAATGCTGGATCTCGACAACTACTGGATGAACCGGATTAAAGGACCCGAGAGCCATGAGGGCACTACGAGAGTCAACAACAACTACAAAGGAAGACTGACAACGAGAAAGCAGGAGACGAAGAGCATAGAGAATAGCATAAAGCTCTGCTGTAAAGATGCTAGTCTCCGGAGGTAAGCGACACATATAAGTGCGATCAGGAAAAACAACAGAGTAGCCAACACCATCCGCAGACTTAGACCCATCAGTGAAGACAGAAACGGAGCGGGAGTGAGAAGAAAAATGCTCGAGGAAAAGGCGTTTTAAAACCGTAGGAGTAAAAGCTTTAGCGATACGGGTCAAGGATGTACAAAACCGCGGAAGAGGGACTCTCCACGGGGGCAAAGAAGGAACAACACGAGGAGAAACATTAGAAATACGAACGGAAAGAGAATCCTGTAGGCGAGATAACCGGACAGAAAGAGGGAGGTGGTGAAGAGGAACAGGAACCGCAGGAGGGGTAAAAGTTAAAGCACGACAGAAGCGAGAGGAAGGATGTTGCAAGGACCGCGCAAGATAGCGAAGACAGTAGCGATCACGGCGGTCCTGGAGAGACAGGAAGCCAGTGTCAACATACAAGCTAAGGATGGGAGTCGAACGAAAGGCACCAGAACTGAGGCGCAACCCAGTATGGTGCAAAGCATCAAGACGGCGAAGAGTAGAAGGAGAAGCAGACGAGTAAGCAGGGCAACCATAATCGAGCTTAGACAGGACGAGAAAGGAATGTAAAGCAAGGAGAGTGCGCCTATCTGCCCCCCAAGAAGTATGGGACAAGACCCGAAGGAGGGTAAGGGCCTTAGAGCACTCAACATGGAGGTAAGAGATATGGGGAGACCTAGACAAACGAGTGTCAAGGAATAACCCCAAAAGCTTCGCAGAATCTTTGTATTCAAGGGGATGACCATAAAGTGACAAAGAGGGACGAAGAACGACCCGTTTCCGCGTAAAAGTCATTGCACAAGTCTTACAAGTAGAGAACTTGAAGCCATGATCGGTGGCCCAAGAGGACACGGCATCAATTGCAAGCTGAAGCCGGCGCTGAAGGAGAGGCGAATCATCACCCTGACAGCAAAGGGTAAGATCATCGACATAGAGAGCGGAGAAGACACCAGAAGGAAAAGAGGAAAGAAGACCATTGAGGGCAACCAGAAAAAGAGTAGTGCTCAGAACACTACCCTGGGGCACACCTTCGTATTGCTGAAAAGAGGCAGAGAGAGCGGTACCAAGGCGCACCCGAAAGGAACGACGAGAGAGGAAGCTGCGGAGAAAGAGAGGGAGATGACCACGAAGGCCAAAAGAATGAAGTTGAGATAGAATATGATATCGCCAAGTGGTGTCGTAAGCCTTTTCCAGGTCAAAAAGAACGGCAACAACGGAGGTCTTCGCAGCAAAAGCAGTACGAATATAGACCTCCAAGTTCACCAGGACATCTGTCGTGCTGCGGCACTTGCGGAAACCAAATTGAGAAGGGGAGAGGAGGTGATGGTGTTCCAGGAACCACATCAGATGAACGTTAACCATACGTTCAAAGAGTTTGCAGACACAACTTGTGAGAGCAATAGGGCGAAAGTCCTTAGGGGAAGTACCCAGAGACCCCGGTTTGCGAACAGGGAGGACAACGGCATCGAGCCAGTCCTCAGGGACTGACGACGACTCCCAGATCCGATTATACAGACTCAGTAAATACCGAGACGTGCTCGGAGGGAGATGGCGAAGCATCTCATAATGAATACCATCGGAGCCAGCCGCCGTAGAACCGCAGAGGGCCAGGGCAGAACGAAGTTCAGAGAGAGAGAAGGGATCATTATAGGGAAGCTGAAGATGAGTGCAGAAATCTAAAGGACGAGACTCAAGGACAGGTTTACGAAGAAGGAAACATTGGGGAAGATGAAGACCAGAGCTAACAGAAGAAAAGTGGGAACCCAGTTCGGAAGCGACCTGCAACGGGTCTGCCACAAGAGTATCATGGAGGTGAAGGACCGGTGAAACATCGGGAACGAACTTACCCGCTATCTTGCGGATACGCTTCCAGATCTGGGCCAGAGGGGTTTCGGACGTAATTGTTGAGACATAAGATGCCCAACATTCACGTTTAGCTGTATGGATGGCCCTACGGGCCACCGCACTCGCTTTCCGAAAGAAAAGAAAAGAATCGGTCGTCTGCCTACGGCGGTTCTTCTTCCAGGCTGCACGCATTCAGCGGACAGCCCGAGCACAGTCCGCATACCACCAGGGAACGCACTTCCGTGGACCCCGAGAGGAAGAGCGAGGAATAGAGCGGAGGGCAGCGTTGAAGACAGTGTCATGAAAAAGGAGGAGAACGCGAGAGAGAGGCAGAAGGGAGAGGTCAGAGAGAGCAGCACTGAGGGTAAATAGGGTCCAGTCTGCCTTAGCAAACTGCCACCTAGGGAAAGAGAGGGAAGGCGAAAAGAGAAAAAGGAAACAAGGATGGGGAAATGATCACTTCCATGGAGGTCATCAAGAACCTGCCACGTGAAATCTAAGTAAAGAGAAGAAGAGCAGAGAGAAAGATCAAGACAAGAAAGGGTGCGAGTCCGAGAGTCCAAATGAGTGGGCTCGCCAGAATTCAAAAGAGACAGGGAAGAAGAGAGGAGAAACGGCTCAAGGAGGCGACCCAGGGTAGTTATGCCCGAAACGCTTTGTGTAATAGTGGCTTTAGGCATTGTATGTACTAGCCCTAACTATAAATCCATCACTCTTTGTAAAATCTCTTTTATGTATGTACCTTACCTAAATAAACATTTTGATTTTTTGATAAGAATTTCCAAGGGTAATGATATGCTAGTGCCTCGTTTACATGTAAAGTCTGCAACCCCCAACTTGCACTACAAGTGAGCACTTGACATATGGTAAGTAGCTGCGGGCAGCTCTAGACTTGGGGATCCGGCGCAGCACCCCCACTCCGCAGGCTAGCGAAGCCGGTCCCTCACCCCCCCCCCCCCGAAGGGCGAGGTTCCCGCTGGCCGCAGAAGTAACTTATCTAGGTAATGGAATGACGTCTTGCCTGACGTAGGAGTGGAACGCATCACTTTTCCACCTGCCGACTGCTCTGATTGCTGCCGGCGCCAGGCCATCCTTGGACATCTGTATGGCCCTGCCGATTCTGAAGGAGTGCGGAGCATAATCGTTTGGAGGCAGGCCTAGTGCTCGAACGGCAGCACAGAGCACCCATGGAAATCTTGTCTGGTGACCGGGGCGCCCGATTCGCCTAGGAAGATAGGTCCTGGTTCCATGCCCCTTCGTCTTACGTAGTTCGCCATGGCACGGACCGGGCAGTACTTGCTGTAGGGTCTGCACTCAGGGTTAAAGTGGGGGTACGCCCTGCACTGTGCTTGTGGGAGGCAAACGCGATGTCGATCCCCATCCGCGATAAAGTTAATTGGTCCAAGCGTAGCGTGTGTTGCTCCTTTCCCGTATAGGTCACCTCCCCTGGCCGGAGGCAGGCGTAGAAGGCGAGGGAGAAGAGCGCTCGATAGCAGGTCTTCTCGTAAGTCGAGCGGCAGACACCTCGCAGGGCCCCCAGTAGTCGATGTAGCAGTCGTCTGGTCACGGGCAATCGTCGTGCGGGGAGCCGTTGGGCCTCGTTGCGCGCTCCCTTAAGTAGTTGTGTGACTAGGAACTGGCGAGTAGAGTCCTCCCTACCCTGCAGCTTGAACATGAAGGCGATTGCCGCAAGGTGGACGCTGAGAGAGCGGAAAGCCAGACCTCGAGACAGCAGCGACTGCAGGAAGTTCACCAGTGTCGTGGACGAGGCCTCGAAGGGACACTCCCGTCTCCTGTCGTTCGATACATACGCCACGTACTCCGCCCACTTATGTTGATACGTTCGCCGTATCGCGGGCTGCAGGGAGTCGAGCAGCGTCCTTACAGTTTCAGGGTGAAGTTGCAGGGCAGGAGGTGCTGCGGGATTGCAGTTGGCTTCTCGGTGAGTCCTGCGTCTCGCAGGAACGAGGGCGGCAGTACCCGCAACCGGGGCAGGGGCCCTCAGTCTTGTGGGGGGCCAGGGGAACGCCTAGGCGCTCACAGAGGGCAGTGAACACCTGTAGGCTCCGCAAACACTCGTTGTAGGTAGAACTCACGAAGAGGAAGTCGTCCAGCACCTTCACGACATCCCGCACGCCGAACTTCTCCGCGAGGATCCAATGCAGGGGGTGTCGGAGAACGTCTCAAAGATCCTACAGGAGGGTGCCGCCCCCATGCTGAGCATTTTCTCGTAGTAGTACCGCCCTCCGTAAGGCGAAGCCTAGTAGGTGGTAGTCGCTGGGGTTGACCGGGATGATCCGGAACGCCTCTGCTATGTCGCATTTCACCAGGTGTGCCCCCGGCGAGCGGCTGCCCACCAAGGCCACCGCTTCGTTGATGGACTGGTAGGTCACTGTTGTCGCCTCCCGCGGGATGTTGGAGTTCACGCTCTCGGAGGTATAGGGGTAGCTGAGGTTGTGCAGGAGCCTGTATTTGCCTGGCGTAGACTTCTCTCGCAGGGCTATGGGAGAACACTTGAAGTTCTCAAATGGGGGGACCTCGAAGGGGCCCGCTATGCACCCCAGGCTCAGTTCCTTGTCGAACATAGGCCCCACTATATGTGGCAGGGCTGTAGTTGCTAGGGGGTTACGAGAGGAGAGGGGAGTCCGAGCCCCTTCGGACGTGCAGGAAGAGCTGTGTCACCGCCTTGTCGTGTGGCTCCTCGCCCTTGACTGTGGGCGGCGTGCAGGGGGGGAGGCTGTGTGTGTAGGCCGGTTTGTGAGGGCGTCCATGTCATCCGCTCCGCCGGGGTTCGAAGACTGCCGTCGCCTCGAAACGGAGGGGTGGGCTCCGAGCCTGGGCAATGAGCGTCTGCAGCGTTGCCCAGTCGGCGGCCGAAAGTTGTGGGGGTTGGTCGGCCGCGCCCCCCATGGCCATGCCGGTTGGGCGTGCATCGTGGATGCGGTCGCCGTCCGAGTCGGAGCCTCCCGAAGAGGCCTCCGAGGAGGAAGCGAAGCGGGGGGGGGGTTTCACCCTTGCCCTGGGCGGTTGCGTCCTAGCGCCCCTTCGTCGCTGTCCTCTTGTTGACGCCGCCCTTGTCCTCTTCTTCACCATGGGGGAGTGGGCCGGCATCTCCGTACTGCGGAGAGGGGAAAAAATAAGTGGGCGGCCAGGGCACGACAGGAAAAGAAACATGGCTAAAAAAAAAAAAAGGAAGAATGTGTAACAGTAAAACGGAATAAGGACATAAATAAACTTAAAATAAAATAAATAATGAATAAACGGAGAAAGCGAAAATGGAGGCATTAACCCAGAAGCAGCAGATAAGTGAAAATAAATAAATAATGAGTAAATAAAATATATAAAAGTAAATAAACTCGGAAATAACTAAAATAAATTTAAAAACAAACAATAATTAATTAATAAACTTAAAATAAACAAAAACAAAATGAACTTTAATTAATTAAATAAACCAAAATTATAAATTTAGTAAATAAACTAAAATTGAATGCCAGGACATAAGAAAACTTAATAATAAATAAATAATGAATAAACGGGGAAAGCGAAAAAAGGGGGGTGGGCAGTAACACAGAATAAGGATAAGTGAAAATAAAATAAATGAGTAAATAAGATAAATATAAGTAAATATTTTTTTTTATTTTTTGAGATATATACAAGAGTTGTTACATTCTTGTACAGCCAATAGTACGCGTAGTGTTTCGGGCAGGTCACATGCACTCAATCACATTCAACATATTGACTTTAAGCATTAAGTCATATATGTGCTGTCTTGTGTGAGAACGGGTTGCAACTGGACCGCAACTCCTCATAATTACTTTAGCTTGCTACACTACACTGGATCTTAACTCCTCATAATAACCTTAGCTTGCTGCACTACACTGGACCTCAAATCCTCACAATTACCTTAGCTTGCTACACTACACTGGACTTCAACTCCTCATAATTACCTTAGCATGCTGCGCTACACCGGACCTCAACTCCTTATAATTACCTTAACTTGCTGCGCTACACTGGACCTCAACTCCTTATAATTACCTTAGCTTGCTGCACTACACTAGACCTCAACTCCTCATAAATACCTTAGGTTGCTACACTACACTCGACCTCAACTCCTCCTAATTAACTTAGCTTCCTGCACTACACTGGACCTCAACTCCTCATAATTACCTTAGCTTGCTGCACTACACTGGACCACAACTCCTCATAATTACCTTAGCTTGCTGCACTACACTGGACCTCAACTCCTAATTAATTTAGCTCGCTGCAATACGCTGGACCTCAATTCCTCATAATTACCTTAGCTTTCTACACTACACTGGACCTCAACTCCTCATAATTAACTTAGCTTGCTACACTACACTGTACCTCAACTCCTCATAATTAACCTTAGCTTGCTGCACTACACTAGACCTCAACTTCTCATAATCAACTTAGCTTGCTGCACTACACAGGATCTCAACTCCTCATAATTACCTTAGCTTGCTACACTACACTGGACCTCAACTCCTCATAATAACCTTAGCTTGCTGCACTACACTGGACCTCAACTCCTCATAATTACCTTAGCTTTCTACACTACACTGGACCACAACTCATAATAACCTCAGCTTGATACACTACACTGGACCTCAACTCCTCATATTTACCTTACCTTGCTACACTACACTGGACCTCAACTCCTCATAATTAACTTAGCTTGCTACACTACACTGTACCTCAACTCCTCATAATTAACCTTAGCTTGCTGCACTACACTAGACCTCAACTTCTCATAATCAACTTAGCTTGCTGCACTACACAGGATCTCAACTCCTCATAATTACCTTAGTTTGCTGCACTACATTGGACCACAACTCCTCATAATTACCTTAGCTTGCTGCGCAACACTGGACCTCAACTCCTCATAATTACCTTAGCTTGCTGCACTACACTGGACCTCAACTCCAAATAATTACCTTAGCTTGCTGCACTACACTGGACCACAAATCCTCATAATTACCTTAGCTTGCTGCGCTACACTGGACCTCAACTCCTCATAATTAACTTAGCTTGCTGCACTACACTGGACCTCCACTCCTCATAATTACTTTAGCTTGCTGCACTACACTAAACCTTAACTCCTCATAATTACCTTAGCTTGCTACACTACACTGGACCTCAACTCCTCATAATGACCTTACCTTGCTGCACTACACTGGACCTCAACAACTCATAATTAACAAAGCTTTCTACACTACACTGGACCTCAACTCCTCATAATTAACTTAGCTTGCTGCACTACACTGGCCATCAACTCATAATTACCTTAGCTTGATGCACTACACTGGACCGCAACTCCTCATAATTAACTAAGTAAGTAAGTAATTATCAAAAGAAGGCACCAAACCGGGAAGGCTATGTAGCACCATCAAATACGCAAAATAATCAGAGGGCGCTAAATATCACCAAGGATGCCAATACGAAAACAAAAACGCATAAGGCGAACGATATCAAAAGTATCCGAGTCACCAAGAATTCTATCGAGGGACAGGTGACCGCGAGGGGCGGTCGGAAAGCAAGACACACGCTCGTCCTGGAAGTCAGGACATTCAAGAAGGACATGCACGACCATAAGAGGGACAATGCAACTAGGACAATAAGGAGCAGGGCGGCGCTCCATCAAGTGACCATGGGTTAAGCGAGTATGGCCAATACGCAACCTCGCCAGAGCTGTTTCCCACCGCCGGTTACGGTGGAAGGAGGACGGCCACGAGGAAACACAACATTTAAGAGTACGTAGCTTGTTACCAGTAACAGACAACCAAGAATCCTGCCAACGGGTAAGGACTGAGGAATGGATAACCGGGTAAAAGTCGGAATACGGAATGCCTTTGCGAGAGATGGGACAAGAGCGGACAGCTTCCTTGGCAGCAGCATCCGCACGCTCATTTAAAGACACACCAATATGGCTGGGAACCCAACAAAACTCAACCGACTTAAATTTACTGTGAACGAGAAACAGCCAATGCTGGATCTCGACAACTACTGGATGAACCGGATTAAAGGACCCGAGAGCCATGAGGGCACTACGAGAGTTAACAACAACCACAAAGGAAGACTGACAACGAGAAAGCAGGAGACGAAGAGCATAGAGAATAGCATAAAGTTCCGCTGTAAAGATGCTAGTCTCCGGAGGCAAGCGACACATATAAGTGCGATCAGGAAAAACAACAGAGTAGCCAACACCGTCCGCTGACTTAGACCCATCGGTGAAGACAGAAACGGAGTGAGAAGAAAAGTGCTCGAGGAAAAGGCGTTTTAGAACCGTAGGAGGGGTAAAAGCTTTAGCGATACGGGTCAAGGATGTACAAAACCGCGGAAGAGGGACCCTCCACGGGGGCAAAGAAGGAACAACACGAGGAGAAACATCAGAAATACGAACGGAACGAGAATCCTGTAGGCGAGATAACCGGACAGAAAGAGGGAGGTGGTGAAGAGGAACAGGAACCGCAGGAGGGGTAAAAGTTAAAGCACGACAGAGGCGAGAGGAAGGATGTTGCAAGGACCGCGCAAGATAGCGAAGACAGTAGCGATCACGGCGGTCCTGGAGAGACAGGAAGCCAGTGTCAACATACAAGCTAAGGATGGGAGTCGAACGAAAGGCACCAGAACTGAGGCGCAACCCAGTATGGTGCAAAGCATCAAGACGGCGAAGAGTAGAAGGAGAAACAGACGAGTAAGCAGGGCAACCATAATCGAGCTTAGACAGGACGAGAGAGGAATGTAAAGCAAGGAGAGTGCGCCTATCTGCCCCCCCAAGAAGTATGGGACTAGACCCGAAGGAGGGTAAGGGCCTTAGAGCACTCAACACGGAGGTAAGAGATATGGGGAGACCAAGACAAACGAGTGTCAAGGAATAACCCCAAAAGCTTCGCGGAATCTTTGTATTCAAGGGGATGACCATAAAGTGACAAAGAGGGGTGAAGAACAACCCGTTTCCGCGTAAAAGTCATGGCACAAGTCTTAGAAGTAGAGAACTTGAAGCCATGACCTGTGGCCCAAGACGACACGGCATCAATTGCAAGTTGAAGCCGGCGTTGAAGGAGAGGCGAATCATCACCCTGACAACAAAGGGTAAGATCATCGACATAGAGAGCGGAGAAGACACCAGAAGGAAGAGAGGAAAGAAGACCATTGAGGGCAACCAGAAAAAGAGTAGTGCTCAGAACACTACCCTGGGGCACACCTTCGTATTGCTGAAAAGAGGGAGAGAGAGCGGTACCAAGGCGCACCCGAAAGGAACGACGAGAGAGGAAGCTGCGGAGAAAGAGAGGGAGATGACCACGAAGGCCAAAAGAATGAAGTTGAGATAGGATATGATAACGCCAAGTGGTGTCGTAAGCCTTTTCTAGGTCAAAAAGGACGGCAACAACGGAGGTCTTAGCCGCAAAAGCAGTACGAATATAGACCTCCAAGTTCACCAGGACATCTGTCGTGCTGCGGCACTTGCGGAAACCAAATTGAGAAGGGGAGAGGAGGTGATGGTGTTCCAGGAACCACATCAGACGAACGTCAACCATACGTTCAAAGAGTTTGCAGACACAACTTGTGAGAGCAATAGGGCGAAAGTCCTTAGGGGAAGTACCCAGAGACCCCGGTTTGCGAACAGGGAGGACAACGGCATCGAGCCAGTCCTCAGGGACTGATGACGACTCCCAGATCCGATTATACAGACTCAGTAAATACTGAGACGTGCTCGGAGGGAGATGGCGAAGCATCTCATAATGAATACCATCGGAGCCCGCCGCCGTAGAACCGCAGAGGGCCAGGGCAGAACGAAGTTCAGAGAGAGAGAAGGGATCATTATAGGGAAGCTGAAGATGAGTGCAGAAATCTAAAGGACGAGACTCAAGGACAGGTTTACGAAGAAGGAAAGATTGGGGAAGATGAAGACCAGAACTAACAGAAGAAAAGTGGGAACCCTGTTCGGAAGCGACCCGCAACGGGTCCGCCACAAGAGTATCATGGAGGTGAAGGACCGGTGAAACATCGGGAACGAACTTACCCGCTATCTTGCGGATACGCTTCCAGATCTGGGCCAGAGGGGTTTCGGACGTAATTGTTGAGACATAAGATGCC